CAAGGTACACCTTCTTGTTGGATCTTTTGATGTCTTGTGCTGCACCCACTATCATCTCCCATGCTCCTTGTAGTCTCAAAACTCTCCAAACATACCTGCCAAACTCCTAAAATGCACAAAACATGCAATGCTCACCTTAAATCTATACTAAGTCATAATTGAATGCAAATGGGACAAAAAAAGCAAAAACGAATGTTTAAAGACTATAACACAATGCAAAATGTATTCTAATATGGTGTAAATAATGAGTATATCAACACCCCCACACTTGCCTTTTGCTTGTCCTCAAGAAAACAAGAACAAATGAGTTAATGAGGTTTGAAAGTGGGAGCTCAAAACGAAAGATGCTAATGGAAGAATTGAATCAATGCTCAAGTTATAGGTTCTAAGATGCATAGAGATTGTTCTACTTTAAAAGCTTTAGCCATACCTATCATAGCAGACAGTGAACTCTAGCTTAGCCTACACAAGCATTCAAATCAACCAACTCTTTAACATTCATTAATCAGTAACCAATGGATCATGTTTGTGCAAATCAAGAGAAAACATTTGGTCAAGGGACATGGTTATGAGATGAAAGTGATCTCATTCAATTAAGGATTCAAAGATTTAGGGGATCACTCAATGAAATGATTCTATCTTAGGCAAAATGCTAAAGGTAAAAGCACACCTATTCATGCAAGTCAAAGCTCTCTTCTACTCTTTTTTCCCAAGATGAACATAATAACTTCTAAAACCCCAAATGAAACTCCTAAATCTACCTTTTCCCAAAGCACTTGATCTCTTCCTTCTTCATATTTAGGGAAACTCCTTCTTCTTTTGCTTTGCTTGTGTGGTTGACTTCTCTTTGTTGTATGATTGGCGCCATTTTCATCACCTTTGGTGGATTTCTTAGTCTGATTTCTCCTTTTGGATGACCTTTTGTAAGCTTTGTTGTTGTTGGCACATTTCTTCTTTAACACTTAGAGCTTTCTTCCTAATTAACTTAACCACAAAATAAACTGTTCCCCGATACTACCAACCTCATACTTCTTCTTCTTCTCAAGAGATGTAAGCATTTAAAGCTCAAACCACTTACACTACCCTTTCCCAAACTCCTAACCTAATATCAAGCTCAAAATGCAAGCTGGTGTCTACAAGACAGCTTCTCCTTGCCAGCCTTATTCCTAACACTTTTTGCCAAGATAAAATCAAAAATGATGCAATGCAAGACCTCACAACTCTCACAATAGTGTTTAGGTTCAGAAAGAAGGATTGGTTTAGGGTGTGGTTTATTGTCGCATAATGATGAGGATCAGCTACTTGGATTAACAAGAGTGGTAAGAAGGGAATAAGATAATCCAAGTATGTATATGGGTAGCCATGTAATCACTCTCAATGCACAAACAAGATAATTCAAAGTCAGGATTATGGTTCTAATAACATAGAGTTGGAATCAAATCAAAACAAGCTTGAGCATAAGACAAGAATATCAATGCAAGAATTCAAGATATGGTGCAGCCTTAACTTCAAACTCACTACAATACAATCAATCACCAGATAACCAAGGCATTGAAAACAATTCAAACATTAACATCTTGACAAGTGTTTAATATCTACTCCCTATGCAAATGTATGCAAACATATATGGAATGCATCTAGACTCAATCTTAGTTATGCAAATGCAACTAAATGATCTTTTTGGTTCCAAAAAATTTGAAAATTTTATAGATTTTCAGTGCATATAGATGAATGCATGAGACTCAAGTATGTAAAAGACAAAATAAGAAAACAAAACACAATGTCAAATGCAATGCCCTCTAAATGATCTTTTTGGTTCCAAAAAATTTGAAATATTTTTGAAGGAGGTTGATAAAGGGTGCTCAGAAGTATTCAGAAGCGAAGGAGTGGAGTTGTGTACCTTAGAAGGTGTTTTGGCATACTGGAAGGGTTGACTGATAGCTTTCCTGCCAAATCCTATCGGTCACATTCGTGACCGATACAATGACCGAAATACATCCGGGTGTTTCCTATCGGTCACTATCTGATCGATGGATGATGAACACTTGTGAAGATGTTAATGTTTGAATTGTTTTCAATGCCTTGGTTATCTGTTGTTTGATTGCATTGTAGTGAGTTTGAAGTTAAGGCTGCACCATATCTTGACTACTTGCATTGATATTCTTGTCTTATGTTGAAGCTTGCTTTGATTTGATTCCAACTCTATCTTATTGGAACCATAATCCTGACTTTGTATTATCTTGTTTGTGCATTGAAAGTGATTACATGGCTACCCATATACATACTTGGATTATCTTCTTCCCTTCTTACCACTCTTGTTAATCCAAGTAGCTGATCCTCATCATTATGGGACAGTTAAACACCCCTAACCAATCCATCTTTCTGAATCTTAACACTATTGTGAGAGTTGTGAGGCCTTGCATTGGATCATTTTTGATCTTATCTTGGCAAAAAATGTTAGGAATAAGGCTGGCAAGGAGAAGCTCTCTTGTAGACACTAGCTTGCATTATGAGCTTGGTATTAGGTTAGGAGTTTGGGAAATGGTAGTTTAAAGGGTAGTGTAAGTGGTTTGAGCTGTAATTGTTTTCATCTTTGAGAAGAAGAAGAAGTATGGGATTGGTATTATGGGGGAACAGTTTATTTTGTGGTTAAGTTAACTAGGAAGAAAGCCCTAAGTGTTAAAGAAGAAAGGTGCCAACAGAAACAAAGCTTACAAAAGGTCATCCAAAAGGAGAAATCAGACCAAGCAATCCACCAAAGGTGATGAAAAATGGCGCCAATCATACAACAAATAAGAGCAAGTTCCAAAAAGAAGTCAACCACACAAGCAAAAGAAGAAGGAGTTTCCCCAAATATGAAGAAGGAAGAGATCAAATGCTTTGGGAAAGGGTAGATTTAGGAGTTCCACTTAGGGTTTTAGAAGTTATTAGGTTCATCTTGGGAAAAAAAGGTAGAAGAGAGCTTTGACTTGCATGCATAGGTGTGCTTTTACCTTTAGCATTTTGCCTAAGATAGATTCATTTTATTGAGTGATCCCCTGAATCTTTGAACCCTTATTTGAATGAGATCATTTACATCTCATAACCATGTCCCTTGACCAAATGTTTTCTCTTGATTTGCACAAACTTGATCTATTGGTTACTGATTAATGAATGTTAAAGAGTTGGTTGATTTGAATGCTTGTGTAGGCTAAGCAAGAGTTCATTGTTTGCTATGATGGGTATGGCTAAGGCTTTTAAAGTAGAACAATCTCTTTGCATCTTAGAACCTATAACTTGAGCATTGAATCCGTTTTTCCATTGACATCTTTAGTTTTGAGCTCCCACTTTCAAACCTCACTCTCCCATTTGTTCTTGTTTGCTTGAGGACAAGCTAAAGGCAAGTGTGGGGGTGTTGATATCTCTTGTATTTACACTATTTAGGCTTGCATTTAGTACATGTTTTGGTTCTCCTTTGCATGTTTTCCTTAGTTTTTGTCCCATTTTCTTCTTCTTTTAGACTTAGGTTGCATTTAGGATATAGTTTGTATTTCCCTTGCATTATGGATTTTTTTAGGTGCTTATGGAGCTAAAAGGAGCTTGGAGGAGCTGTGAGGATGATCCAGGAAGCTAGCTGGACCAAAAGGACCAAAAGGGACCAAGGCAGACGATCTCTGCGGAGCTTATTGGTCTGCGCAAGGAGTGACCGATACAAGGCGTAACGATCAAGAATATCGGTCAAAGAGTGACCGATACAAGCAGTATCGATCAAGGGTACCAGTCAGTAGTGATCGATACAAATGCACCATGTATATTTTGGTCACTGTATCGATCACTTTCCAGGCCGATATGATTCGTATCGATCAAGCCCAGACAGTTACAACTGATCGATATGATCCCAGACTGAAGATCATTTATTTATAATTTTGCCATTTTTGCTTAGACTCCTATAAATACGAAAAATCCCTAATTTCTGGGAAAAAGCTTTTATCCAGCAGTTCTTTCTTCCTTGTTCAGATCTTTGGGTTTTGTAATTTGAATCTTTGCTTGATTTCAATTAAAGTTTGCATCTTTCATCTTGTTTAAGCTCTCTAATCATGATTAGTCATCTTTCTCTCTTTGAATTGATGGTTTTAATGGTGCTTAGTGAGTAGTCCTTTTTAGGGATTTGAGATGGGTTAGGTTTAGGGAATTTGAGACTCTATCTATGATTGCTTAGTGTTAATTCTTCCATTTCCTTTCTTGATTGCTGTGTTTAATACTTAATTAGCCTTAGCTAAGTTGATTAAGATCTTAGGCTCATTTTATGCCCACCAAGTGTTTGATGAAATGCCTGAACTGCTTTGCAAGAGAATTGCTTATCCTAGCTTAAGAGATTGACTGTCTAGGGAGTGATTTGGAAATATAGGGTTGATAGATTTGTCTTAATGCTTGCTCTTTATCACTTCACTAATGAGAATTAGTTCTTGACTTGGTAATTAGCAAAGAGATTAGTGCCAAGGGATTGGATTAGTCATATAAATGAATCATATGCATAAGGAATAGCATTGTGTGAGTTTGTAAGAATCTTAGATTGAGTCAAGAGTTCCCTAACACCAATTATCTCATCTCAAGTCCCATCTTTTCTCTGTTTTTAGCTTGAATTCGGATTTGCCCTGTTTTTCCTTTACTTTAGTTGCTTTGCTAGATTTTCACCTTTTGTTTTGTGCTTGCTTCATTGCTATTTGATCACTTAGGTTGCTAGATATTCTAAAACCCCTTTCTTATCTGTTTGAATTAGGAAATCTACTATAATCCTGCTGTTTCAATCTTCCCCTTTGGATTGACATTAAAATCCAATGCTACAATGACTAGTACAATGGGTGATTAACCAAGAGAGTCAAAGCTCTTGTATCATGCAACAACCCTTAGATTTGGAGTATGAGAACCTATGTTGAAGTCAGAATTTCGAAAGCTTTCATTAGACTTCTCGTGCTCTTCCAAAAGCAACTTCAATAAGTCGTAATTCTCTTCATTAATAGAGATTGGAGGAGAATTGTTTGCTCCATGATCATACTCCATGTCCCAAGATTAGTATCTCTCATTATATCCACATTGGTTCCCTTGAGCAAGGTACCCATCTAAAGGTTCTCCTTGATAAGTGTATGAGCTTTCAAAACCATGGTGACTTGTGGAAAACCTAGCCATCCCTCTCTCTCTTGAACAAGCTCTCAACATGGACTTTATATCTGAATCCATGCTTTCTTCTTTGTGATTGTACCTTGCAAAAAGAACAAACACTTGAAAGAAAGTTAGTAACCAAATAAACAAAAGCAAAACAAAGCTCTCAAAAAGAATCAAAATTATAATGCTCTAAACAAGACCCTAATGGCAACGGCGCCAAATTATAAAAAGCTTTTATGCCACTTTGCAATTAAAACTCTTTTTAGCCAATTAAAACACTTCTTATCCTATCTAAAAGAGTCAAGATGGAGGCACTGGGAATATATGATCCTAAGTAAGCTAAGAAAATTGGAGAAACAAGTTTATTTAACAACCTAAAACACAAACAAAAGCAAGGAAACAACTAAACAAGAGCTCAACAATAACTAAGCAATTGATTAACAACTAAGTAATTTCGAATTTAGATAATTATCAGGAAAGAAGGACTCGAGATGGGGTTATTGATATAGAGGAGTCTTCTACTTGATTAATAATGCTTACAAACTCATAACAATACTATTCCCTATGCATAGAATTCACAGCTATTACTAATCCAGTCTCTTGACACTAATCACTTTGTTAATCAACAAATCAAGAACTAATTTTCATTAGTGAATGGACAATCAACAAGCATTAAAAACAGATAATACAAATATTTCCAATTTACTCCCTAAACATAAATCCCTTAGGCTAGGATAAGCAAATCTCTTACTTGACTAGTTCAAGCATTTCAACAAACACTTGGCAGGCATAAGTCAAGCTTAGGTTATAAATCAACTTAGCAAGAGCTAATCTAGCATTAAAAGCATCAATAAGAAGAAAATTGAAAGAATCAACTCTAACCAATCATTAATCAAGCATCAAACTCCCATAATCTATCCCATCCTAAACTCCAAGCAAGAAACTACTCCCTAAACATGGTTTTAACCACAAACTCAAAGATGGAAATATGGCTAATCATGATTAGAAAGAAGGATAAACAAGAAAAGATTAAGGAAAGTGCAAAACTAGATTAAAACTCCAAAGTATATACAAAATATTTCTAGAATCCAAGAGAGAAAGGAAATACAAAAAAATAACTAGACATGCCTTAATAATTAGGTTTTTAGGGTATTTATACGGTAGGGGTCGGATCCCTATTAAACCGAAACAAACCGGGTCGAACCAACAATTTAGCCTAAGCAGGATGGTCCATATCGAAAAACCTTGGTCGATATGTAGGTCGATATGCGCGTTATAGAGGCTATATCGACCAAGCTTGCCATGTATGTTGCTCGATGCGGATCTCTGGGTTTTTTACTTCTTGTAGCGCTCTTGCGAAACTCGTGATATCTCTTGAACCACTTCACCAAATGACACGAAAGCTAACTTCATTTCCTATAACTCTCATGAAGGCACCAGAATCTGAATCAAGCTGCAAACCCTTCGTATGTGCTAATTTTTCACTCGGTCAAGATGGTTGATTTAGACTCCTGATGGATATGTCCTTACTATTATCGACATAACTCCTGAACCACCAATGGGAATGACTTTAGACAAACTCCATACGAAAGCTAACTCAAGTGGGTACAACATTAATGAAGAACGATGAGGCCAACTCGGAAATGAAACACTTCATCTGAGCTGATCTTTAGTCGATACGTCTTGCAGAACAGCTTGTAGCGGGCTGGCCTTGTTCGATATCTTGCTCAATATGGGTTTCCTAAAGTTGATGTATCGGCCACGCTTTCTTTGATATGATGCTCGATGCTCGAGTCTTAACGGCTGTATCGACCAGGCTCTCTTTGATATGCTGCACGATTTGGACGCTTTGGATCTTGCATCGGTCAAGTTCCGCTTGATATCTAGATGGATGTGAACTTTATGCTGACCAATATCTGGCAGAGGAGCCCGATATGTAGCTTAATATTCAATATTGACCACGTCTACCTCGAGGTACATATTGATCTAAGGCAAAGCAAAGAAGAAGCAAAAAAATTAAGGTTCATATCAAGGTGCATATCGAGCTAAGGCAAAACAAACATGCAATGCAAATCTTAAACATACTCTAAGTTCTAAATGAATGAAAATGAGATAAGAACAAGTAAAATACATGCGTAGTGACTAAAAATAAATGCTAAATGTATGCTAAAATGGTATAAATATATAGTATATTACACGTTTCGAAGCCAATTAAAAGGCAGTTGAGGGCATTTTGAGTATTTACCCCCAAGCCAGAGAAGTTGGGTCGTTGTTTAAAGAATTCAAGTTTGATGAGAGCCGGGGTAATGGAAAAAAACAAAGACATTGAAAAAAAAAATATTGTATTTATATAGTGAACTCTGAAGGGGCAAAGACTAAAAAAAATATCTATTACAATACTAGAAGGGCTGTGCACGCCACACACGATGGGTGAAAAATGAAAAGGAGGTGAAATCCCTGAAGACGAACCCACATAAGGTGCGAACTCGGTCAAAATAAGCACACCAAAGAGGAAATGACAGAGGAAAACCAAGGCAAAAGAAGAACCATCGCGCGGGTGGCTGCTTCGTGATAGCATGCAAGGCAAATGAGCCGTCAAGGAATACGAAACGGAAGCAGGAGGGCGGCACCCCCTCAGCCACCACCTCCGCCCCTTAGGGCACAAAGTGGCTCCAGTGGGATCTCACCATACGATCTTCTGACAGGGCTCAGCCTCTTGGCGCTTGCGTAAGCTCCAGGGTCTGGATGTCCACCTGGAATTCAGATTGCTCGCCCCGCAGCTCCGTGTTGACAGTCTAGAGATCCGCCCCGAGAACTGCACTCTCCTTCATACTATCAGGAGATCTGGTTCTTCACCTTGCCGTCCGCTATCACCGTTCGATGTCATCCCTGACGATGAGCCCCCGCAAGCTGTCCACAAGGCCCTGCCTCCTGGTTAGAGAGTGAAACCATGCTCTCCCGGAGCATCAAGATCTCCGGCATAAGGGAATTGACCCGGCGGCGCTCCGCGCTCAAGCGCTTTACAAGGAAAGAAAACCTTCACGCTGACGGAAGAATTACTGACTGGTCTGTTTAGAGAACCCTCTTTAGGACGCATCTGCCGCATCTCCTCCAAGATACTCTTCTCTCGCTCATGCGCCCACATGAGAGAGTCCTGAAGGTACGCCACCGACCCGATCGCCTTCGCCAGACCATTGATGGTCAGATCAGCAGAGCGAATGTGCCCATCACAACGAGGCCATGCGGCTCCCTCGGGCAGAGTACCTACCCACAGGTCCGATCGTAAGGGACCCAAAAAGGCTGTGGAGCTCTCAAGGAGGTGATGTTACGATGTGCGAGGAAGGAGATATTGAAGGAGCGAGTCACTCTGAGAAGAGGCTCGTGCCTCAAACAAGAGGAATGCTTGTGACTCGTCCCGCCTCTAGAGCTAAAGGTGACACCCTTAAGCCTGGAAGCTCCTTCAGGAAATTGAATATGGGCTGAAAATGATAGATGCCTAACGAGCCATACTTTGGCATCATAGGAAGTTGTGTCCTCGCAAACCATATCAACGAGATCTGAGGAAAGCAGCGAGTTCGATCAAAAGAAAAAGGCAAAAGAGTGAGTACGTCTTGCTTTAAAGGTAAAGTAAAAAAGAAATCCCCTCTCTCTTCCTTATTATAGAATCGACGAAAGGTGGAGGGATGTTTTGTAACCCCTGAGGTTTAATCAAAGAACGGTAAAAATTATGGATCAATGTTGTAATTAACTCTGCTTCAATATGTGCACTGAAGCGACATCCATTTAATGGGATTGACGAAGCGATGCATCCCGAACTAGGAAAGTGATGAAGCGCCAGCTTGCGAGAAGCAAAAAAAAACAGTGTGGCGCTACTTCCCATGTGACGAGCGATTAAGAATCTGCCACGTGTCCTATTGCACTGACAAATGCCCTGAAAGTTACGACGAAGTCTTGTCCGAGCAAGATAGTTTTCCCTAACCAAGAACATCACGATGCTCGACTCAGAAAGCGTGCAGAACGTTAATTGAGTCTCTGGGGCATCACCAAGAAAATACCCACTAGCCCCAACAAAGCATAACACCACAATACCCACCGTCCTAGCAGGGCATAACGCCGCGATATGAACTCTTGAACTTTACAAGTAGTCTGCCAAGGGGATCACTGTCTGTGGAGACAAGCGTCACAAGCCAATTGGCCATTTTTTGTGCGTATACACCCACTTTAGTCTCGATTGCGTGATTTCTTACCTACGTGATTCTTTGCTGGTATGGTTGCATGATTTCTTGGTTGCGTGATTCTTTGCATGTGTAATTGTGTGATTTCTTGGTTGTGTGATTCTTTTCCTGTGTGATCGTGTAATTTGTTGGTTGAGTGATTCTCTGCCTATATGATTGCTTGATTCTTTATTTGCATGCTCATTCAGTTGCTTGATCATTCGGGCCCCTATGACTCTTTACATTATCATTGTCTCTACTTATCACACTTTCGATTCAGTCGCTTATTCTCGTTCGCACTTTTCTACTCTCCGGAAGCATCATATTTTTGGTTCATATTTCTGTGAAAGCCCTTTGTCCATATTTTAGACTGCATGCTCCTCCATGGACTTGCTTGCCTTCCAGGGCACTATTCCTATGAGAATTCTGGACTCCAGTCCTGTAGACCTCCGGGTCCTCCTCGCCAATTCCCTCTGGAGACCGCATGACCCTTTAATGTGCTCCCACTGGGAACGTGTTTGCCTTCCATAGCACCATTCCTCCGGGAATTTGGAATTCCAGTCTCACTAACCTCTGGGTCTTCCTTGCCAGCTCCCACCATGGACCGCACGACTCTCTAATGTGCTCCTTCCATGGACACGCGTGCCTTTTGGGGAACCACCGGAAATTGCGGTCACTCCTTATGGTGGCTTTCTCTTCCCAAACTTTCTGATTTCTCCCTTTGGGGATGATCCAAGCACGATTCTAAAACCATGAAACTTTATGTGTAAGTACAACACAAAGACTGTTTCGGCAGTAAGGGAGTTGGGTAATGCCTCTAGGAAATGCTATGTTTTACAACTAGCTGGCTAGCAGATGCTTCACAATAGCGACAGCTCCCCCCTCGTGTTAGCAACCTGCGCACGGGAACCATCTTTTCACCCCCTCAAGGTGCCATTCGTGGCTCTTGGTCAGGTGTCTCAAACTGTGTTGTTGTCTAATGTCAATCCCCATGGTCACATAAGGCTCTAACTTCCTCATAAACCCAATAGGGAAGGAAGACGACTTTTTATCTAGTGCCTCACAAAGCAAGGAGTAAAATCTCTCCGGAGAGATGCTCATCTGTGGGCGACCAACTGTTTTTCTGGAAACCTAACTTCATCTTATCTTGGGCAAGCGGGTACTCCCACGTGATACACGCACTAACAAGGGTAAGACCCATCTAACAGTTTCTCTGAAAACCTTGTTTTGCCTCCAGCCAGACCTGTACTCTTCCAGAATGCGTGGCATGGTCGGGGATGAATCTCTCTAACTGTTTCTTCGGAAATCTTGTTTCACTCCGACCAGACCAGTACTCTTATGGGATGTGTGACAAGGTCGAGGGTGAATCGGTTCAACTGTTTCTCTGGAAACCTTGTTTCACTCCAGCCAGACCAGTACTCTTCTGAGATGCATGGCAAGGTCGGAGGTGAATCACTCTAACTGTTTTTCCAAAAACCTTGTTTCGCTCCGGCCAGACCCATACTCTTCTGAGATGTATGGCAAGGTTGGGGTTAATTGCTTCAACTGTTTCTCCGGAAATCTTGTTTCACTCCGGCAAGACTCATATTCTTTCAAGATGCATGGCAATGTCGGGCGTGAATCGCTCTAACTATTTCTCCAGAAACCATGTTTCACTCCGGCAAGACATGTGCTCTTCCGGGATGCGTGGCAAGGTTGGGGGTGAATTGCTTCAATTGTGTCTCCTGAAACCTTGTTTCATTCCGGCCAGACTCGTACTCTTCCGGGATGCATGGCAAGGTCAGGGGTGAATCGCTCTAACACGACACTGAACATGCCAAAACCTTCAGAGTTAAAAAGAAATTAGTCTTGAAAATTTTTACAGGAACGAGGTAAAGATTGACTCCCGGAATCATTTCCAATCAGCCAAGGACTCATGGGAAATTGTTAGGCCTACTGTCACTGCGTCCAATCAGTAAGTGACACGTCAGTAGTGGGCTTGGCCGTGATGATGAACTTCTTGTCTCCTCCTGCCCAATAGCTCCCTAGCTAACTATTTTTGGACAGGTAGCTAACTTCCCAAGTCAAAGGTGTGTTGTGATAGCCCACCTGCTTCTACCATGCGTCGTATCGATGGGACGGGTCAGAGCAAAGAGAGTATAAAGAGAGGAAGAGAGGTCGAGATAGAAAAAAAGAAAGAAAAGAAAATATGGAGGGAAGAAGGAAAGAAGGAGGAAATATATCCAAACGACCAAAAGACCAGAAGAAATCTAAGAATAAGAGGAGCGAGAGGAGGATAGCGAAACCTTCAAAAAGGAACCACCATCGTGTCTTGCCCACACCTGAATCCAACCGACCGACAAACTTAGCAGTGGGACTAAAAGGGACACGCTCAATGTTCCCTGGAAGAACTGCCAATTGAGATAAGTTTTCTCTTTTTCTCTTAACCTCCATCTTATTCCTATCGAGAGAGAGCTCCAACATCACTCTCTCCATGACCTATTTACTATACATCTACCCTCACCAAACAGCAGACGTGTATCACAATCCATAGATGGGATACCAAACCATATCACCACCACCAAATTCATCCTCTCAAGTAACTGTTCCCACTTGGACGTGATTTATCTTGAGCGTCAGAGATCCTTCGAAAGGAAATACCCCTTCCCAATTCTCCTGGAGATCCGGCTCACTTCTTTCTCTTGCATGTAGAATCCAGCTAGACTTTTACCTTGGGACCGCACACCGCTCATCTTCCTAGAGGACAAAACTTCAAAATCCAAAATCATTTTGCGGATGTTCATACATCTTCAATAAACAGTCCACAATTTATTTCCGAAGACATATATATTTAGATAATTTTTAAAAATACCAAATAAAATCAACATGTTAAAAAGATTTTTGAATTGATTTTATCAACAAAAAAACTATCAAAAATTTAAATTATTTAAATGATTTTATTATAAAAAAAATCACACTAATGCAAAATAAATATCCATCTCAACTTATAATCCTCTACCTATTAATTGAGAATATTGTTTAATGAAAATTGCTGATTTGTTTTAATTTGATTGGTTAATATCATTAGTTTAAGCAATTTTAATGTGACATGGAAATGATGATGTAATTGTGACATGTCAGTTTTTTAGTACACATGGCTTGTGATATGGTATTATTTAATCTATAAATAAAATTTAATGTTAAAAATTTGATACAAAATTTAAGTATTCAAATTTTTGACAAAAATTTGGGAAATTATATTTTGTTAAATATATTTAAAATCATATTTCGACACAAAATTTGGTAAGAGAATTTACGGATTTCAAGTATTTAGCAGAAAATTTGCAGCAACTTATTTAGCCGGAAATTTTTTGATATCACATTTTTGGTATAAAATTTATGGATTCATAATATTTGGCAAAAAGTCATGAAATTAAATTAAAATATTCTAAAATAAATGTTTTGGTGAGAAATTTACAATTTCATGTTTTTAGCGAAAAATTTCTAAAATTGGGTTTTCACGGAAGTTTTGAAAATTATATATTTAAGTAAATTTTTTGGCGGAAAAATTACGTTTCACTTATTTGAAGCGAAATTCATGAAATCAAAATTTTGACTGGTAGTTTTAGAAATCACATTTTTAATGTAAAGTTTTTGGCAAAATTTTTTTATGAATTCACTTTTTCGCGAAAAATTTACAAAATCAAAATTTTGATAAAATATTTTTAGATCAGATTTTTTGATGTTATCATTTTTGTGTGAAAGTTACTTATTCATGTTTTTGGCAGAAAATTTGCGAAATCGGTTTTTTGATGGAGATTTTTTGAATCTTATTTAAAATAAGTCTTATGCAAAATATTAGCAAGTTTAAGTGTTCGTATGAAATTTACGGAATCAGATTTTTAGAAGAAAAATTTATTCATTTTTATTATCATCTTATCTTGTTCTACTATAAATAAAGAACAAAAATTTATATTATATATGAATGTATTCTAATTATATAGCAAGAATTGCAAACCAGCAATGGGACGAAAGGTGACAGAATGAAATAAAAAAACTATAAAATATGTAAAATATGAATAAAAATAGAAAATAAAGAATAACAAAGAATCATTTTATTTTATTTTACAGTTTTTAAGTATTTTCAGTTTTGCATATATTTTATTTTTTTGTTATATACAATTTGTCAAACCTAATAAATCATTTTTCACAAATTTAATTTTTATACAAATATATTATTGAACAGGTTAATCATTTAATTATTGTAAATTATATATATTATTATTAATTAATTTTATTAAAATTTTCATGTCCGCAGGCCAACCATCTAATTTATCATAAATGATTTAAGAATTTGAATTAAGTTATCAATTTTCTAAAAGTATAATTCAACATTTGAATATAATCATAATACACTGTAATTTAAACTTTAATTAAAAAATTTAAAATAATATTTGATTGGTAACAATTTTGAGTGACATCGATAACTCAAACCAAATAAAAATACCACATATTACCAATGTTACCAATCAAAACATAATTCATCATAATAAAAATTTAAAATGAAAAAGTTCAATATAGCTATTGATTAATAATATTTTAAAATTATGTTCTTTAACTCAAACTAAATCAATAATTTATGTTACCAATTAATCGTTATTGTTATAAAAAAAATGCCTTTTCTAATATTATATTTATAGAAATTGCTTTATTTTATAATTTTTACAAAATATTATAATACTATTTTTAATATGGTTATTTTATTTATTATAAGATTTTTTACTAGTTATTATGAATAATTTCTCTATTTGGATTTGATTAGTGAGAAGCAGGAATTGAGCAAACAAAACAAAAAAACAATCGTACCCAAAAAAAAAACGAAAAACAAAAAAAAATCTCCGTCCAAAGATGAAACGTAATCAAAGAGGCGTGTCAAAGAGTCGGTGAAAGTCTGACGAATTCTCCAAGAGAAAGTTGTGGGTCCCCACAGCCGTTACGATTCGACGCAATTAACCCACGTGACTAATATCTATCCTCTCCCTCTCTCTTACTTTTTTGTCCCCACATGCCCAAATCTCTCTCTCTTCAGTCAGTTCCTTTCTCTCTCTTACTCCTTTTATCCCCACATGCCCAAATCCCAATTCTCTCTCTCTCTGTCTCTGCACTTAGTTCCTCTCTCTCTCTCTCAAAACGGAACAACGAGACATGGACAATCTCCAGAATCTCAACCTTCTCTCAATCTCTCTAACCATAATAATCAACCTCTCTCTCACCATAGCCACCGAATTACCCTTCATAGAAGTGAATTATCCCAACAACATGTTACTACGGTCGATGCCGACCAAAAACCAATCATCAGGTCTACAAACTCGGGTCGGGTCAGATGAGTGCCGTGTCTGGACCCATGCATGTTCCGATGAGGTTCTCCGGCTGGCTCACGAGCCCGAAAACGTGGCGTGGCTCATGCGCGTGAGAAGAACGATCCATGAAAACCCGGAGCTTGCGTTTGAAGAGTACGAGACGAGTAGGCTTGTTCGGACCGAGCTGGACCGGATGGGTATCCGGTATAGGTATCCCTTAGCTAAAACGGGTATTCGGGCTTGGATCGGATCTGGTGGCCCGCCTTTTGTTGGGGTTCGGGCTGATATGGACGCACTTCCTATTCAGGTAAAACAAAACCATCTTGTGAACCGCAAAAGTTTAATGTTTCTTCTTTGTTTTTGTCGAAAGTTTAATGTTTCTTAATATTTTACAAAGTGAATTTGTTATATAAATAAACTGAGGATAATGATGACAATAGAAAATAAAGTACAGGGACAATGGCGACAAAAAAAGAAAGAGTAAATAAGGGATAAATTGGAGAAATACTGTGGTATTTTAGTAAATAAACGCGATGTTTTTTATCACACGTGTTTCTATTAGCATGATATCTTTCACAAAAAATTATTGTTTTAGCATTTTATTTTTGTTTCATAAACAGTATAGTTTTAAACTTTTGTGTAGAAATTTTATCAAAAATTCAATTTAAGATATTTATTAAAGATATAAGTTGTTTAGGAAACATAAATTTTCATGGTTTTTAATGTGTAAAAAGTTATAAAATAAGAATATTTTTGAAACATATGAAATATTTTAAAAAATACTATTCGACTCATTTGCAATTTAAAAGATAAAGTAAATTTTTGTCATTAATGGTATCACTTGTTTAATATAAAAAAGTCACATGTTTATATATAGTAGGACTTTTGTATATACTTTTCTGGTTAAGTCTTTCAGATTTTTAAATATAGTGTCGAAAGAAATGTCAAAGATTGAGAAATGATGCAGATTGTTTGGGTTCAATGTACAGTTTCTTAATGTAATCAGTAGGCGTAAGAAATGTTATATTCTTTGTTCCGTGTGACCATGTGAAGTATTCCATTTTTGGAAATATCGTGTACTTTTCTGTTGTTACTCGCTGACAGCCTGACAGAGAGATTGTGTCACAACCAGCGCACATGGTATACCAGATATGTGAAAATGATAATGATAGATTGTGTGGTTGATGTGAAATGGTATAGATAAGGCATTTATATAGTTTTCTTACAATTATATATCATTAAAATTAATATTAACTTAAGGTTAATTGTGGTCGTGTGAAATAGGAAGCAGTGGAATGGAAACACAAAAGTAAAGTTGCAGGCAAAATGCATGCTTGTGGTCATGATGCACATGTCACTATGCTTCTTGGTGCTGCCCATATTCTTAAGTCTCGTGAACATCTTCTCAAGGTACTTCATAAAATTCTTTCTATAGCATTACTCATGGTTATAAAAATTGGTAACTTGCATTTTTCATAAGTTTTTGGTTAATTTTATTGCATATTTAAGAGTACTGGATTATGTCTTCTCGAATTCTAGATATGATTTATAAATTTTGTTGTCTCTTGGTAGGTCAGTGCCTGTTTTGATATGATGACAATTAATGTGAATTAATGATCAATCAAGTACTCTGCCCCCATTTATTTATTTGTAATAGTGTTAACTTTAAATTCTTTTTTGTTTTGGTCACAAACTAACTTTTTTTGATTATACATTTGTTGCATCATCTTATAAAAACAAACATAAGTGAAAAACTAAACTAGTAAAAAAAATTTTTTTTTTGTTCAACACTAAACTAGTAAAATTATTTACTGATTTTAATAGGGAACCGTGGTTCTGTTATTCCAACCGGCAGAAGAAGCTGGAAACGGCGCGAAAAAGATGATCGAAGATAGAGCTTTGGATGACGTGGAAGCTATCTTCGCAGTCCATGTGTCCCATGAGCATCAAACGGGTGTGATTGGATCTAGGAGTGGTCCTCTTCTTGCCGGATGTGGAATTTTCCGGGCAGTTATCACTGTCGAGGAGAGCGGGGGCTCAGCTGATCTTATTCTAGCAGCTTCTTCCGCCGTCATTAGCCTTCAAGGCATTGTATCTCGTGAAGCAAGTCCTCTTGATTCTCAGGTGCTTCTTAATATCTCGTGAAGTAAGGTATTTGAAAAATTGCAAAATTGATTTCTAATTTGGATTTTCTCGAATTGTAGGTTGTATCGGTGACTTCATTTGACGGTGGTCGCAGTCTCGATGTGGCACCGGACACGGTGGTTCTCGGGGGCACTTTTAGAGCTTTTTCTAACTCAAGCTTCTACTACCTTATGAAGCGTATTCAAGAGGTGCGTACCATTTAACCAATATATATATATATATATATTTTTTCTGAGTTGCATAAACCAAATTGACCAACCCAAAACCAACCTGATACATTTTTGTGTGTTTTGTTCAAACCGAATTCAAACCAAATTCAAACCGAAATTGTAAACAACATTGTCCATCCATTCCTCGGACTCTATACGAAGTGGTCCTTATTTCAGATTGTTCTAACGATTTTGGATTTTTCCAGTAGACAGAGAAAAAAATAGTTTCGCATGCTAGCTGATAAATTTGTTTGTTGGCTCTTGGTTAAAACTTAAAACCTCACAACAAAGGGACTAATCCACTATACACCAGCTCAAATCAGGTCTTTAATTTGGTATAAAACAAGTAAATAAAACAAAAGGTATAGTTTAAGTGGTCAGTAAGGGCTAGAAATGGGGCAAATATCTCTATTTTGTGATATTCAATTCTTTTTGTTCTTTTCATATCTTTATTAGTGTTCACTCAGCCGGACATATAGTTGTAAAATAATCGTAAAAGTTTAGATATTATTAAAAATAAATTTAAAACTATAAACCTAAGAATTTTACCAAATTACACTCTTAACTTTGTGTAAATTTATTCTTTTGTATAATTGTTTTTTGGATGAATTTATTCTTTTTTTTTGGTATAATTTCGTTTTTTATAGTATAAATTTATCTTGCACTTTTGTTCTCATTTTTTAAATCCCCTATATATTAAAAGAGAAACATTTTTAAAAAATAACCTTATTTTTATAAGTATTTACAGTGGTGTTATTATGCTGATGTGTCAACTCCACATTTATTCTGAGCTAATTTTTTAAAAAAACTTTAAATTACTAGACTAATTACATGATATGCCATTGTATATTTTAGGTCCATAAATATATTATATCTAATTTTTAAATCAGCATTTAATTTATTAAAATATTTTCTTTCTTTTATTTCTTACCAAAAATATATCTTATTAATTATTTCTTTAATTACATTTCTACCAAAAATCTTTTTTTATCTTATTTTTATTTAAACTTATACATCATTCATATAATAATAAAATATATAGATTTTTTATACATGTATTATAATTTGAATTTTAAAAATTGAATATAAATTACTCAGATTATTAATAAATAAACATAAATTATTATAATTTGAGTTCATTATAATCATTATAAAAGTTGATTGTAATTTAAGTTTATTATAATCATTATAAATAAAAGTAAATAATTATAATTCGATTTAATAGACTTTTTTCAAAAGTAAATTTTCAATTAGTTTATAATTTAGACTCTTTCCAAAATTTAATATACAATAAATAATATTTAATATTTAATATAATATAATTATGAGGTAATTGAGAATTTATTAATAATTTTAATGGAAATAAATTTTATTGTGTTTGATATATGTTAATAATATGATTAATTTAATTTATCGCATTCACTAATCTAATTTAGATATAGGTAATAGATTAATTCAAATTTATTTTGTTAATTTAGATATATATATTTAAAAATTTTGAGTATAAAGGATAGTGACATTTTTGTCTAATAAGTCATCAATATTTAAAACTTATTAAAAATATATATAAAATGGATTCACATCAATATTTTTATAGAATCTAATTATAAAAATAATTATTTGTCACATTATTTTTATATAATCAATCATAGCAAGAACGCATCAAAACTCTAACTATGTTACATCTTAAATTTTATTATGTATACACTATACTCTTAACTTACTATTTATCATATATCTAATTATATTTTATTATTATATTTTAGATAATATTTTTTAATTAAAAGTTTTTAAAGTCAATAATTATTCTTTTCTTTTACAAAGAGATAATTTATAGATATAATTTTTGTTTTTCAAATTAAAAATATAAAATTTGTGTCTTTTTTATAATTCATTTGATATAATAGATAAGTAACAAATTATTTAAATATATACATAAATATTATATATCTAAATCTTATAGAAAATTCATATGGAAACTTCGTATTTCTATCTAGCTATATCATGTACTATGCATGATATTTTACTTTTAAATTAATTTATATGATAATTAAATTACTCTATATATTATAAAAAAATATACTGTCAATGTTATAATATAATATTATATAAAATTTATATAAATATAATTATATTTTGTTATATTATATAATTTTAAAATTATATTAGATTTAAATAAATAATAATTATTTCATTCCGCACAGAGTGCGGGTTATTACTTAGTTTTATAGTAAATTTGATAGACAAAATCTTCTAGATTTATTTACGTATAATAAACATGCATTTTATACATCTAAATTTTTTATGTAAATAGACAGACATATTCATATATGCCTGGGGAAGCAGATATTCATGATTTCAGGTTTTAGAATCGAATTTGCTCTGTTTTATTATTTGTTGTGGTTCATATATTTACGAGTTTTTAATTATACTATTTGGTAGCTTGAATTGGAGTGGATAATGGAAATTTTGCCTAGTTCCTACTAACCAGTATTGTGTAACCATATTAAAAACATGCATCTTTTTGTAACAACAGGTACTAGTGGAACAGGTTGGGGTTTTCGGTTGCACAGCCACGGTGAACTTCTTTGAGAAGCAGAACGCTATCTATCCGCCAACCACAAACGACGACGCAATGTACAAACACTTAAAGAAAGTCACCGTTGATTTGCTTGGAGACGACCATTTCGAGGTGGCTCCACAGGTAATGGGAGCTGAAGATTTCGCCTTCTACTCAGAGATCATCCCAGCCGCATTCTACTTCATTGGCATAAGAAATGAAGAAATCGGGGCGGTCCATATCGGTCATTCACCGCATTTTATGATTGATGAAGATAGTTTACCGGTTGGAGCGGCGGTTCACGCGGCCGTGGCTGAGAGATACTTGAATGATAAACGCTCATGAGAAAAAAAGATAATCTCGAGTTTATATCTTCGGTGTTTATATTTTAGTGTTACATAAATTAAATTAAAGTTATTAATCTAACATTGCTTGGAAATGTTTGTGAAAAGTAGGCTTTTTCTATTTTTTCCGCCTAGATCGCATATATGAAGGAGTTGTCCAAAATGTAATAATATTTATAGTTTATAGTGTAATTCTGAAATTTTTGGAAATTTTATTTGAGATATTGAATGTTAGTATATGGTACGAAGTTGGTCACTTAAACTCACTGTGATTAATTAATATTTATGATATTAACAACAGAGCATACGTATTTGATTCTTACTTAGCTTGCAAATGAAACAAAGAACAGTAACGGTCAACTGTAAATAATTACAGCGTTGACAATTCCCAAAATCGAAGAAGAAAAATACGGAATTCGAAAGCTTTTGGGTCAATAATTTTCTCGGGTCGCGTGGGATGATATGTACTGTTAAGGATTAATTAACTAGAGTACAATTTCTCCTTTTTTGTCACATAATACACCCTCCGTTTTAAAATGTCGTTTTAAATCTATTTTTTGTATTTCAAACTAATTATTGTTTCAGATTTTAATGTAGACTATTAAAATTTTATAAAAAATTAATTATCAATAATATATATATATATATCATTAATAATAAATAAGTGATTGGCCTGTTTGGTAATATATTTATAAAAAATTTGTTTGTGAAAAAATGTTTAATAGATTTAAAAAATTAGATCATAATAAAAAATAAAACATACACAAATAAAATAAAATAAAATGATTTTTCGTTATTCGTTATTTTCTAATATTTATTTATATTTTTTATCTTTTTATAGTTTTTTCTGCCATTTTACGTTCTATTTCTGGTTCGTAATTCTCACTATATAATTGAAACACATTCACATATAATATAAACTTTTGATCTTTATTTATAGTGAGATAAAATAAGATGATAATAAAAATGAAGAAATTCTCTTTCTAGATATCTGATGCCGCAAAATTTCACACAAACAATTGAACTTGTAAATATTTCGCTAAAAACTTACTTAAAATAAGTTTTCAAAACTTTCCATTAAATAACCGATTTCACAAATTTCATACCAAAAACATGAATAAGTAACTTTTGCACCAAATAATTATATCAAAAATATGATCTAAAAACATTTTATCAAAATTTTGATTTTGTGAATTTCCCGCCAAAAAGTGAATCCATAAAAAAAAATTCACCAAAAACTTTACTTTAAAAATATGATTCCAAAAACTACCAGTCAAAATTTTAATTTCATGAATTTCCTGCTATATAAGTGAAACCGTAAATCTTCCGTCAAAAAAAACTTATTTAAAAATATAATTTCAAAAAACTTATGTGAAAATCCGATTTCAGAAATTTTCCGTCAAAAACATGAATTTTTGACTTTCTCACCAAAATATTTATTTTAGAGTATTTTAATTTGATTTCATGAGATATCAAAATTTTTTTGGCTAAATAGGTTGTCACAAATTTTCTGCTAAATACTTAAAATCCATAAATTTTTCTGGCAAAATTTTTGTGTCGAAATATAATTTCAAATCTATTTGACAAAAATATAATTTTCCAAAATTTTGTCAAAATTTTGAATAGTTCAATTTTGTATCAAAATTTTAACATCGAATTTTATTTATAGATTAAATAATGCCATGTCATAAGCCATGTGTACTAAAAAAACTGACATGCACAATTACATCATCATTACACATCATCATTTCCATATCATATTAAAATTGCTCTAACTAAACATATTAACCAATCAAATTAAAACAAATCAGCATTTTTCATTAAACTACCTTCTCAATTAATAGGTAGAGGATTATTGATAATTTTTTTAATTTTATTCTTACTTTTTAGTTTATTAATTATCTTTATCAAACAAAATAATATATTCCATATATTTTTTATATATTGTTTGGAAGCATTTTACAAAATACCACGTGAAAATATATTATTCGTTTAGATAGCAAAGTTATGTTTCTAAGTTTTGTTTTCTGAGGGGAAATACATCGAGCTGTTATGGGGCGAAAGTCTGTTCTATTCCTGCAGGCACTACACAAAAGAGTCAAACGGGTATGCAGGAAGACCGAATGAGGGTTTCCCTCCTGAAAGTTCTCCGACGTCCAAGTCAATGAACTACTGGGAACAAGTACTCATGGGATGGTAAATCTACGGGTTAAAGATTAAATATCTTGTCTGGGGACCAGGACATCTCTCTGTTTAAGAGTGTTTCAAAGGGTTCTATAAAAGGATAGGAGACATTGGAGTTATAAAGGCATAATTCCGGATTAAAGAGGGACATATCCTGTTTGGCGCTATCTCCGGGAAACAGGGCTGTTCCCTTTTGACTACAATGTATGGCTGATACTAGGATTTTTGCAAGCAAGGTGATGTATCAAATCCCAAACCACAATCAATGATGTAGTATAGCAGTAAGGGTATCAATCCGACCTAGGAAGCAAGAAGAACACTAAGAATGCAAGTGTGAAGCAAATCTAAGCAAATCAAGAAAATGCTTGGTAAAATCGAAGAAAACTAAATGCAATGACCAAATGAAATGCAAAACTATTTTAAAATCCCTGGAAGAGGGTTAACTATCACTAGAAAAAAGAAGAAGATTAAAAATGCAAATCTATTAAGAACTAAAAATCGAGCACTGAATCGACCACTGGATCGAGCATAGAATCGAGTAAAACAGACCGATCTAACAACTTAAAGCAAAATGACTTCTAATAAACAAGAATGCAACTTTATGACAAGCGAATGATGAACAGAGGTTTTAAAATGATAAAAGAGGGTACAAGGTCGAGGGTCATATTCAAGAGTGTCAAAGGTTTAAGCTTTGGTTTGAAAACATATAGATCTACTCATTTATGAGCTTTCTCTAAGCCTTGAAAATAAAACAAGAACCATCCATGGCATGTGGCATGATTCACTTCCTCAATCTCTTCTCCAAACCCATGGCGTTTGGTGGAAAAAGAGATCAAAGAGCAAGAAAAACAGATTTCAATCTATGGCCTAACTAACCTCCTCTACAACCATGGCGTTTCGGAGAGGGTCGATTAATCTCTAGGATCTGGCTTTCTAGGATATCTGAATCCGGTCAGGGTAAGATAGCCTTGGAATCATAGAGATCTTTTCCAAAACTCTCTAAGCCTTAAGACCCCAAGATCCTAGAAGAGAAGGAATGAAGAACAAGAAAAACACAAAACTTAAACCTCTTAAACCCTTTAAATCACCTCAACCCCAAATCCCAAAAGAACTACTCGCTACTCATGAAAGAAACTGATTGAAAGACAATAAACAAAGAACTAAGCATGATTAACGAACGATTAAAAGAAAACTGCTTAATATTAAAACGATTCAAGTTCAAAATCAAAAGAAAAGCTTCGAAGTTGTAACAATGGCTAATCGCCTCTCAAAAAGCATAAAAAGATAAGTCTGAAAGTTGTTGATGAAATGGATGGCTGCCCTTTGCCAAAAATAACCAAACCACCAACTGGTCCCCCCTTCGCTACGGTCCAAACCTGAGCTGGCCGGATAAGGCTCCAGAGATCGATCTCTGGATCGAGCAGCTCACTCGATCTTCTTGCTGGATCGCCTTTCTTTGCTCGATCTTCCAGTCGATCTGGTTGGATGGATCGAGCACGTTCCTCGATCTTCTTCTCGATCCTTGGATGATCGAGTCGTGGTCTCGATCTGGCTCTCGTTCTGCATGGCGTCATTCACGTTCGTACTCCAGATCGATCTCCTCTCTCGATCTTGGTCTCGATCCTTCCTCTTGAATCGACTTGCATCACTCGATCTTCTGGTCGATCTCATCTAGATCGACCTGCCTTGCTTGATCCGCTACACGATCTCGGGTCCTTCGCATGCAAGGTTGAGCTCTCCAAGAGTCCATAAGCTTCCAGCTGATCCTCCTCACGTCCACATAACCTCCACAACTCCAGAGTGCTCCAAACAACCTGATAATGATGCAAAAGTGCAAGAGACATGCAAAATGTGAATGCAAAGGGACCTAGGACCTAAAATGCAACAAATAGAACAAACTAGCCTATAATGCAAGATGAATGCATGAAAAACTATCCTAAATGCATGCAAAATATGCAGAATATATGGTAAAATCAACTCCCCCAAACTTGCCTTTTGCTGGCCCTCAAGCAAACAAAATTCAAGAAGGAAGAGAGGTTTGAAAGCGGAAGCTCGAAACGAAAGATGTCAATGGAAAAACCGATTCAATGCCCAAGTTATAAGTTCTAAGATGCAAAGAGATTGTTCTACTTTAAAAGCTTTAACCATACCTATCAAAGCAAGCAATGAACTCTAGCTTAGCATACACAAGCATTCAAATCAACCAACTCCTTAACATTCATTAAGCGATAACCAATGGATCAAGTTTGTGCACATCAAGCGAAAGCATTTGCTCAAAGGGATAAGGTCATGAGATGAAAATGATCTCATTTAAAGCATTTACCTCAACGCCGCGTGATCAGTGTATACAACAAACTTAGAGCCAACCAGATATGATCTGAACTTCTCAAAAGCGAACATAACGGCCAGCAGCTCCTTCTCTGTTGTAGCGTATCTCACTTGCGTGCCATCTAAGGTACGACTGGTGTAGTAGATAACATGCAACCGCTTGTCTTTCCTCTGACCAAGAACAGCTCCCACGGCGTAGTCGCTCGCGTCACACATGATCTCGAACGGTAAGCTCTAATCTGGTGCTTGTACTATAGGTGCCGTGACAAGAGCCTCCTTGATGGTCTTGAAAGCATGAAGACAATCCTCATCAAACACAAAGCCAGCTTCCTTACACAACAGCCGCGTGAGGGGTCTAGCTATCTTGGAGAAATCTTTTATGAATCTCCTGTAGAAGCCCGCATGACCTAGGAAGCTCCTCACTCCCTTTACATTAACCGGCGTGACCTAGGAAACTCCTTATACCCTTCACATTATGATATATCATGGTTTTTATGGTTTTTAACCATGATATAAGTCTTTTTTATTGAGTCTTTTTAGTCTTTTTAGAGCCCTAGAAGAGTCTTTACAGGTTATAGCATGTCTGGAGCATAATTGGAGATTTTAGAACCTTTTGGAGCATTCTGAGTTGAAGCCACAAAGTACCTAGCTCGAAGAAGAAAAGTATGCATATGGGTGACGCTCGTATTTGCAAAAAGACTCCAGATCGTGTTTTAGCTTGTATATTAGGTTTTTCAGCC